AACGTTTCCTCTGTAATCTTCATCGATGACCCCAGCTCCGACATCTATGAAGTGTTTGGCAGCCAAGCCCGAGCGTGGAGCCACTCTGCCATAGCTCCCAGAGGGAAGGGCGATCTGGATGTCCGTCTTCACAAGAGCTTTCTCCATGGGTGGTGTCGTGCAATCATAGGCGCTGTAGAGGTCGTAGCCGGCGGCGCGCGCGGAGCCCCGCGTCGGGGCCGTGGCGTGCTCCGACAGCCGCACACAGCGCAGGGGGGCGGGCCCGCTTGCTGGGGGACACGGCGGCGGTGATGTCTTCGGAGCAGGGCATTGCAGGGAGAGGCGGACAGCAGACGGAGCAGGGGGCACAAGGAGAGTGCCTTTCTTTACTTTCTTTTTGCTTTAATGGAGTGTGTTGCATCTCTATAATTTTGTTCAGATAACTGCAAAGCGTGGAAAACATGTTTCTCTATTGACACATAATATACTGCTTTTATTGGTCATCTAACATAAATATAAATAAACATGAATGCACATTTAATATAAATATTATATATATAATTTCAATTTTTGGAAACTTGTGTTGTCAGTTTTGGGAAAACTCATCTTGATTTACCATGCTCAGTTGGCATTGTACAGAAATTAGCAGCCCTATAGGTCTGGAAACTTTATTTATTTATTCACTTATTAATTTATTTATTTTGTACACAGTCTCCCTATGCAGCTCTGATTCATAGTGATCGTCCTGTCTCAGCCTCCCCAACATGGGGATGACAGGCATATGCCACCACGCCTGGGTTCAGTAGCCGGCTCAGCATGGGGCTGGCAGGCATGCAGTACTGGGGATCAAACCTGGGTCCTCACACTTGTCAGGCAGGAGCTTAGACTGCTGAGCTAATTCTGGTTCAGGCCAGAAACTGTAAACTTATTTTTTTTTTTCCATTTATACAGGGGTAATGCTCTGTATTAAATATGTAAAGGCTTATCTGTGTGAATTTGATTACACAAACTAATAAAAGTATTGAAAAAATGAAAAAAATAAATAAAATATTTTCAAGATTTTTAAGAGAACAAATGACTCAGGAAAAATTCCATACTAGT